AAAAAAAAAAAAAAAAATTCAAAGGGGCGAGAGGTTTGGTCCTCCATTCAGCAGACATGTCTCAAACACCTGTGGTACCTAAGGCGAGCATCTGAGAGACACAGCTGCATAAGTGGGCAGGGCCCTGGCACTTCCAGCTAAGAAGTAGAGGCTCTTCTGCCCAGCCAGGCAGGTCCTTAGGAGAAGGAACCCTGGTTTCATTGAGTCTTTCTGTCCCTCATCCCCCAGGAAGGCCACTCTGGCTGACATTGTGGAACAGCTGCAGGAGAAAGAGGCAGGCCCAGGGCTGCCTGCTGGGGTAAGTTGAGCCTCGGATGGGTGGGGATACAAGGACCCCTTTTTCAGAGCAGGGGGCAGGATCTCAGAAACAGTCAGTGCCTAGCCCTGGCAGGACCCATTCCCTACCTGGAACCTGCAGAGACAGCATGGACTCTCAGGGTCCCCAGAATCTGAAAATGTCCCCCTTAGAAAGACGGGGCACCTACTTAAGAGACCCCTACTCCCCCTCCACAGACACACACACAGACTCTTCCCACATCTGTCCTGGACTCCGTATTTCTTCAGCCCAGTGGGGTCCCAAATTCCTTCATAGCCTCATACACGCACACACAGAAGGAAGCCCCAGGTTCCTCCTGCAGACAGCGGGGACACGCCCTGCTTGCACCCCCACCTCCAGAAATCTGGCTGCCTCTTCCCACCACCGAGAGGGATTCGAAACCAGTGAGTCCTAACAGACTCACTCCCAAGACCCCATGGGGCCCTAAGAATTGGGCCTCCAACCCTGAGGTCCTCCCATACTCGCCTCCAAGACAGACGGCCCTGCAGACGGATGGGACCCCAGACCCATGAGTCCCCCAAACAGATGACCCCCCACACCCCCTCCATGGACAGCACCCCTTTCCCCCTCCCTTCACACAGCCGTCGCTGCCTCAGCCACGGGAGCTTCCCCCAGGCCGCCTGCCTAACGGGCTTGAGCCGCCCGAGCGGACACCTCGGCCGGACCGGCCCCGGGCGCGGGACCGGCCCAAGCCGCGACGGCGGCCTCGGCCAAGAGAGGGTGGTGAGGGCGGGGGAAGCCGGCGCTCGCGCTCCGCCCCGGCCCAGGGCGGCTCCGCCCCCGCGCCTCCGCCACCGCCCACTCACACAGTGCAGCACGAGGGCTTCCTACTGCGCAAGCGCGAGCTGGACGCTAACCGCAAGTCGTCCAACCGGTGAGCGTATGGGCGGGGTTTTGGAAGGTGGGTCTCAGGCTCTGGGTGACCAATGAGTGGAGCGGTGGGACTGAGGAGCGGGTGTGGTTCAACTTCAGGCCCTCCAGCAGGTGGGGGTGGTAGGTGGGGCCAGAGGGGGGGGGGTGGATGAAATCAAGAAAGCCAACCAATGAGCAGGAGAGGGTGTGGTTTAGCGTCAGGCGCGCCAACCCGTGGGGGTAGTAGGTGGGGCCAGATGGGGGGGGCTCAACTTGGATGATTCCAACCAATGAACAGGAAGGGGTAGGACGTAAGGTTCGTGCATCTAATAGCTGATGGGTGGAGCTTAGGTGGGAACAGAGGGAAAATGTTCTGAAAGTGAATAAATTGGAACCTAACCTCTTAGCAACCAACCCAGGAGTTGACTAGCTAAATAGCAAAGAGGGAGGCGTCTGGTTGAGAAGGTTTCAATGGTTTGTCGTGGAGCCTGGAGAGGTCACCCAACCAGTGAGTGGGGTGGGTCCACCCTTGAAGTTTCAAATTGGGGGAGGGTCCAAAAAGGGGCAGAGCCCAAACTAATGAGGGTAGGGGTTGAGAAGAGGGAGTCATCTCTTACAGGTTTCCAACTGAGGGTTTAGCCACTATGTACCTGCTCTTAGAGTCCAGCTCCTGCTTGTCCACCCTCTTTTTGTCCTACTGAGAGGCAGAATCTGGGGACAAGTGGAGCCAAAAAGGGGTATCACCAGCCAGTAATGGCGTGAGGGCTAGTCCCAAGATATGAAGTGGGCAGGACAGATTCAGATTTTGCTAGTGGAATCTGTAGGTGGTCCTTCTTCCTCGTACCTAATGCCAAGGTAGGAATAAGCAAGGGCACCTAGTATATCTTGCTCTTGGAGGAATTCCTCCTGGATCGAGGCTTTGGATGGCTGGAGGGACAGGAATTCTTTATTCCAGACAGTAGACCAATAGACCTTCCTTGAGAAAGCTCCAAGATTGGGGAGGATTGAGTGGAGCAAAGGCTTATGGAGGAGACAGCTGAAGTCTTACCTTCAGGAAATTCAGTATGGAAGGGGATAAGGAAGGGAAACCCCAGCCTAGGCAACGGCTTGGTACTGAGAGACTTAGATGCTCCCCTCGGGGCAGCAACAGCCATAAGGAAGCGCATTTTAGGCATATGGCCCAACTAGGGTGCAAAAGTCCAGAGGAAGGAAGGGTCAGGCATATTCAGCCCTTGAGGATGTTAGTGTAGAGTTATCAGGCAGAGTGCTGTGGCTCTGCCTTGAGCCCCATCTTGTCACTCCAGGTCGTGGGTGAGCCTTTACTGTGTGCTTAGTAAGGGGGAACTGGGCTTCTACAAGGACTCCAAGGGCCCAGCATCCGGGAGCACACACGGTGGGGAGCCGCTGCTCAGCCTGCACAAGGCCACCAGCGAGGTGGCTAGTGACTACAAGAAAAAGAAGCATGTCTTCAAGCTCCAGTGAGCCCCCCAATGGGCAGGAGGGAGGGATCCAAGGCTCAGCTTCAACTCCCAGGGGGACCCTGACTTCCCTGGGGGACACTTGGTGGGCAGGTGGGCTGGACTCCTTCCCCAGATCTCTCAAGTTCTGTGTCCCTTCCTACAGGACCCAGGATGGCAGTGAGTTTTTGCTCCAGGCAAAAGATGAGGTGAGATCTGGTCCTTTCCTCCCTCTGTGTGGACCTCAGTAACGACCTGGCTGGCTGGCTCCTGGCCCAGAGTGATGGGGCTGTGAGAAGGGACACTCATAGGCCAGAGTTATCAGGGCTGTAATGGGAAAGCCCACAGGCACTGAGAACCCAAAGCAGGTTCCTAACCCAGTGGGGAGTAGGAAGGGCTTCAGGGAGGGCTGCCTGCAGTTCCTGATGACAAACTCCAACCTCTTTGCCGTGGTCACTCAGGTGAGACTGGAAAGATAGGAGGGAGTTTGCTTTAAAAAGGGGTGATTTGGTTGGGCACGGTGGCTCATGCCTGCAATCCCAGCACTTTGGGAGGCCAAGGCGGGCAAATCACCTGAGGTCAGGAGTTCGAGACCAGTCTGGCCAACATGGTGAAACCCTGTCTCTACTAAAAAATACAAAAATTAGCTGGGTATGATGGCAGGTGCCTTAATCCCAGCTACTTGGGAGGCACAGGCAGGAGAATCGTTTGAACCCAGGAGGTGGAGGTTGCAGTGAGCCGAGATGGAGCCATTGCACTCAAGCCTGAGGGACAACAGCTCGAGACTGCTTTCAAAAATAAAATAAAATAAAATAAAATAAAATAAAATAATAAAAATAAAAACGGTGATTCAGAGGGACAGTGGGGGTCTAAAAAAAGGAGTGATTCAGGTCGGGCACCATGGCTCATGCCTGTAATCCCAGCACTTTGGGAGGCCAAGGCAGGAGATTGCTTGAACCCAGGACTTCAAGACCAGCCTGGGCAACACAGAAAGATCCCATCTCTACAAATAATAATACATTAGCCAGGAGTGGTGGCACACGCCTGTGGTCCCAGCTACTCAGGAGGCCGAGTGGAAGGATCACCTGAATCAGGGAGGTCAAGGCTATCATGAGCTGTGATTGTGCTATTGCACTCCAGGCTGGGCAACAGAGTGAGTGAGATTCTGTCTCAAAAACAAGAGGGGGTGGGGGATCTAGGTAGAGGGAACTGCAAGTGCAGAGGACCAGGAGTGCAGAATTGCAAAGGGTTAACTGCTGGAGGACAGAGTTCATGGAAGAAGGTCCCAGAAAGTTTCCCGGGAGATAGGTGTCTCAGGACATGATGGGCCATTTGGAGGAGATCGGATTTTTTATTTAAGGGCACTGGAGAGCTAGGGGGGATTACAGTGATGTGTGAAAAAGATTCCTGGCCTGGCACGGTGGCTCACACCTGTAATCCCAGGACTTCGGGAGGCCGAGGCGGGCGGATCACCTGAGGTTGGGAGTTTGAGACCAGCCTGACCAACATGGAGAAACCCCACCTCTACTAAAAATGCAAAATTAGCCGGGCGTGGTGGCACATGCCTGTAATCCCAGCTACTCAGGAGGCTGAGGCAGTAGAACTGCTTGAATCCGGAAGGCAGAGGTTGCAGTGAGCTGAGATAGCGCCATTATACTCCAGAATGGGCAACAAGAGTGAAACTCCATCTCAAAAACAAAACAGGCAGGGCGCAGTGGCTCACGCCTGTAACCCCAGCACTTTGGGAGGCCGAGGCGGGTGGATCACGAGGTCAGGAGATTGAGACCATCCTGGCTAACACAGTGTAAAAATACAAAAAATCAGCCAGGCGTGGTGGCAGGCGCCTGTAGTCCCAGCTACTTGGGAGGCTGAGGCAGAATGGTGTGAACCCAGGAGGCAGAACTTGCAGTGAGCTGAGATCAGGCTACTGCACTCCAGCCTGGACGACAGAGTGAGACTCCATTTCAAAACAAAACAAGCAAAAAACAAAGAAAGATTCCTTTGGCTACCTGCTTGGGTAGTCCAGGCCGTGGCCAGGGCCAGGGCAGGGACCCAAGTGGGAGAGCGCATGGCTGGGCCACACAAGCCTGTGGGGAGAGGAGGAAGAGGAGTCTGAGAGAGGCAAGCATGGAGGTGGTTTGAAGAGATGTTGAGAGTAATAACTAACACTTGTTGTCTCTCTCGATCCTCACAAGATGCAATGAAGAAGTAGGCCTTTTTTTTTTTTTTTTTTTTTTTAATGACACGGAGTTTCTTTCTTGTTGCCCAGGCTGGAGTGCAATGGCGCAATCTCAGCTCAGTGCAACCTCCGCCTCCCGGGTTCAAGTGTTTCTTCTGCCTCAGCCTCCTAGGTAGCTGGGATCACAGGCATGTGCCACCATGCCCGGCTAATTTTTGTATTTTTAGTAGAGATGGGGTTTCTCCATGTTGGTCAGGCTGGTCTCAAACTCTTGACGTCAGGTGATCCACCCGCCTCGGCCTCCCAAAGTGTTGGGATTACAGGCATGAGCCACCACGCCCAGCCAGAAGTAGGCCTTTACCCACTACATGACTTATTTTACTTATCTGCACAATGAAGATTAAAAGTAGTTTCTTGGCCTGGCATGGTGCCTCACACCTGCAATTCCAGCTGGGAAGGCTGGAAGGGTTTGGGAGGCTGAGGTGGGCAGATCATTTGAGGTCAGGAGTTCAACACCAGTGTGGCCAATGTGGCGAAACCCCATCTCTACTAAAAATACAAAAAGTAAGCAGGCATGGTGGCGCATGCCTGTAGTCCCAGATACTCAGGAGACTGAGGCACAAGAATCCCTTGAACCTGGGAGATGGAGATTGCAGTGAGCTGACACGGAGCCATTGCACTCCAACCTAGGGGAAAGAGCAAGATTCTGTCTCAAAAAAAAAAAAAAGTTTCTTATCATAGAGTTACTGTGAGAATTAAATTGCTCCATGTTTAATTGATACATGATAAACTGATACTTAGCACAGGGCCTAGTAAATGTCAGTGCTGTAGTAGTGACTGCCCATATTATTATCATTGTGTCATTTATCTCTGTAGTAGGAAGTATATATAATCCTATTGCATAAGTTTAAGGGAGTTAAACCACTAAAGTGTTTGGAACAGAGCCTGGCACATACTGCTTTGTAACTGCATCATCATCATCATCATCATCCCTTTTTAATAGATGAGAAAACTGAATTTCAGAGAGGGTAGTCTGATCTGAAATTCACCTATTATTCCAGCTTCCCTCTTCCAAATGCGGACTCTGTGCTCTGTTTCTTCCCCCAGGAGGAGATGAACGGCTGGCTGGAGGCTGTGGCAGCCTCAGTGGCAGAACACGCAGAGATCGCCCGCTGGGGCCAGACACTACCCACTACTTCATCCACAGATGAGGGCAACCCTAAGAGGGAAGGCGGAGATCGCAGGGCCAGCGGGCGCAGGAAGTGACTTCCACCCCCAGGGCTTGACACATCTGTCTCCCCTCTTTTCCGCACTGTGGGCACAAAGACACTTTTTCTTCCGCAGGGGCGGGAGCTCCTAGTTCTAACACTGAGGACGCGTGACATGGTGGGCACCGGAAAGGAGGGGACTTCTCCGGCACCCCAAGAAGTGGTGGGGAGATTGCTGCCCCTATAGCCATATCTCGGCCCCTTCCCACTCACCACCCCCACCCCAGGTGCTGGGGCTCCCTTATTTTTATGCAATAACTGAGCTTGATGGGGGTGGGCAGGGGCCTAGTTGAGCCAAGCCCCCTGCCCCATCCGCAGATCCTGCCCCAAGAAGCTGGGGTGGTGGGGGCGGTAATTCCTGCCCCCCCTCTCTGCCCTAGGGATGGGCACGGGGGCGCTGGTGAGGTCCCCTGGACCATCCAGGGTGCTAGGGGGTAGGGAGGGGACACCCCCTCCCCGCCTTTACCTCACTTCCAATGCTGCCTTGATCTCTGTCTGGGAGGGGGGAGTGAAGGGGCCCTAGCCCCTGCACTCCACCGCCTCAGAGCCATGCGGTTAATTCCTGACTTAGTTTATTTTTGCAAAACGTCGATCTCCTCCTCCCCCGCCCCGCATCTGCGAAGGCTTTTAATGGGAGGGGCGTCAAAGCTCAAAACTGTCTTCCTCTCTCCTCCCCCCTCCAGTTGTAAATGGCACTTCATGAGGGGAGGGGTGAGGGGAAGCCCTCCCCCTGCATGCTTCTGGCTGGAGCACCTCCCTGGGGAGTGGGGGGATTGGGTTGTGGGCAGCCCCCATGGCCGCCTGGAGAAGCCGCTGGTGCCCGGGGGTGTGGGGCGGTGTGGCGGGCGCACACTGTATGTACCTATAATAAACCCTTTGGCTTTGACGGTCTATGGTCCTTTGTTTGGGTTTTCTGGGCTGCGCCCGGGAGGACTGAAAGGAGGGCTGTGGTGGCTGTAGGGGTGGGTGCAGGGTGGGGAGCGGGGCACGGGAGTACCGTGGCTGCGGAGAACATCCAGATGTACCCCTTGATGTGGACTTAATTTCGGGGTCTAAACACACGCCCCTTGACGAAGCACCTAGATGCCATACCTAAAACGAGAATCTAGAGGGATGGAGAATATTTCGTTATGCTTTGTAACAAACTTCCCCAAAGGCGACTCTGGGTCCGCCCCGTCCAGTTCAGGAAAGGCGGACCCCTTTAAGGAGGCGGAAAAGTTAACCGCGATGGGCAGGCGCTCTGTCCAATCGCTAGTGACCCCTGGAGTCTCTGGCCCAATGAGCAGCCGATGGAGGCGGGGTCCGGATGCACACCCGGAAGTGGGTGAGGGCCAGCCGGCTCGCCTGGGGGCCATGGCAGCAGCGGCTACTGCAGCCGAGGGGCTACCGAGTCGGGGGCCTCCCGGGGAAGTCATTCATCTGAATGTAGGAGGCAAGAGGTGAGTGTGGGAGACTCCTGAGGTCCCATCCTTGGGGGCGGGAAGCGGGGTGGGAGTATCCGCCTCTCTTGGGGGAATCCCTGTCCATCAAGGGTTGCTCCGCCCTCCGTTGGAGGCGCGAGAGCCTGGAAAAACGCCGGGGAGGGGGGAAGGGAGGGAACCCTGGATCCTGCGGGAGGGGGCCGCATTCCTCACCCGCTCCTCTTCATCTCTTGCGTCCGTTTACCTTCCCTGCCCAGATTCAGTACCTCTCGCCAGACTCTCACCTGGATCCCAGACTCTTTCTTCTCCAGGTGATCGGGAGAGCGAGTTTGGGGAGAGGGTAGGAGGGATGGAGAGGGCGTGGGAGACCTAGTGAACACTCCCCCGGCCCGTGACGCCCGCTTGTTGTCCCTTCCCTGCAGTCTTCTGAGCGGACGCATCTCGACGCTGAAAGATGAGACCGGAGCAGTGAGTCGGAAAACAGCTGAAATGGGATGGTGGGAGGGGTTGGTAGGAAGAGGGGCAGGACCCCACTCAGTCCTCCCTTTTACCCCATCCATCCTCTGCCCCACTTTCCCGCAGATCTTCATCGACAGGGACCCTACAGTCTTCGCCCCCATCCTCAACTTCCTGCGCACCAAAGAGTTGGACCCCAGGTTGGCGTGGAAAAAGGGGAGGGAGTCCCTCACTGTCTTCACCCCCTGAGAAGTTCTTTCACCTCTGAATGTGAAAGAACTTTCACCTCACATGAGCTCCATTCTATTAGAATTCTCATTCGGAACCTTGATCAAAGGCCAGGCGCGCCAGGGTTGCTCACGCCTGTCATCCCAACACTTTGGGAGGCTGAGGTGGGAAGATCAGTTGAGCCCAGGATTTGGAGACCAACCTGGGCAACATAGCGAGACCCCATCTCTAAAAAAGCAAACAAGCAAAACTTCATGAGAACCTTGATCATTTTAAAATTATATGTCCTTCGATTTCTCCCTACACACACACACACACACACAAACACAAACACACACACATTCCTTCCACCCATATCATCACTCCTTAGAATCTTGATTCCATCAAAACTTCCTACCCCTTGACATTCTCTATGCAGTTTTGAAAATTGCCCTCTCAGAATTCTCTGCTCACCCCCACACCTAGACCCTGACCTCTAGTCAATTCTACTCCCCAGGGGTGTCCACGGTTCCAGCCTCCTCCACGAAGCCCAGTTCTATGGGCTCACTCCTCTGGGTAAGTGGGAGCCCCAACTATTATCCTCATTGTATAGAAAACCAACTCTGTAGTGATGCTGCCTGCCCCTCTTCCCCTTCTCTCCTGAAAGAGGGCTGGGGTAGAGGTGGGAGGACTGGTTATAGCCCTGGCTGGGTCTGTATTGGTACTGGGAGGAGTACTGGTACTCTGTGTAGAAAGAAATGGGGTGGCCTCAGCATCTCCCTAAGTCCCAGCCTTTAAGTCCTCCTGTTGCAGTTCGTCGCCTTCAGCTTCGAGAAGAGCTGGATCGATCTTCTTGCGGAAACGTCCTCTTCAATGGTTACCTGCCCCCACCAGGTGGGCACTCCCAGTGGAATGGAGGGGCGTGGAGGTGGGCTAAAGACTACATTTCCCATAAGGCTGCAGCTCTTGGTGCCTGTGCTAGTGAGCCCTGAGATACAATGGGGGGGTGTAGTTACCTATCAAGTGCTTGGGCTGATACTTGGAAAGAAGTTGGAAACAGCATTTCCCATGAGGCAATGGGTCAGCTAGCCCTTGAGGCGCAGAAGGATGCCCTGGAGCCCCATGGGAGTTGTAGTCCAGGTTTGGTTTATTTGTAGGGGGGGCTTTGGAAGACCTTGGATTCTTTGCATGGAGGGGAGAAATATTTATAGGAAGTTATTGACAGTAATGCCCATGATAGCCAGCCCACTGACCATTGAAGGTATGCCCCAGTGGTTATTGGAACTAGGCTTTTCTGATTGGTAGAAGGAACAGAGTGGGGAAATTTCATCTACAGCTTTATTTCCCTAACTGCAGTCAGTACCTGCTACCTTCATGAAATTTGCCAGATATAAAGACCTGTAGTAGTATTTTTCCAACTGAGTTTTATCCTGTTTTCCAAAAAACAATCATTTTATTTGTTTATTTATTTATTTTTTAATTTTATGAGACAGGGTCTGGCTTTGTCGCCCAGGCTGGAGTGCAGTCTTGGCTCACTGCAACCTCTGCCTCTCAGGTTCAAGCCTTCCTCCCACCTCAGCTCTGCCACCGAATAGCTGAGACTATAGGCACTTCCCACCACGCCCGGCTAATTAAAAAAAAATCATCTTAAATGCAAGCTTTATATTATAAATACAAAGTAAACATGAAAATAAAACCCAAACATAGCAGTGTTATTAAACTCTGGCCTGGAGCCATGGCTCACACCTGTAATCCTAGCAGTTTGGAGGCCGAGACAGGTGGATCACTTGAGACCTGGAGTTTGAGACCAGCCCAGGTGACATAGCAAGACCTCGTCTCTACTAAAAATAAAAAAAAATTAGCCAGGTGTGGTGGTGTGCACCTGTGGTCCCACCTACCCGGGAGGCTGGGGTGGGAGGATCACTTGAACCCAGAAAGTCAAGGCTGCAGTGAGCTATGATCATGCATGACACCCCAGCCTGGGCAACAGAGTGAGATGCTGTCTCAAAACAAATCAAAACGAAAAACAACTCTGGCTAGATGCTATTGCTTGTGAAAGGTGCAGTCTTCCCTTTATTAAAAGTGAAAATTAGGGCTGGGCATGGCGACTCACGCCTGTAATCCCAGACTTTGGGAGGCCGAGGTGGGTGGATCACCTGAGGTCAGGAGTTCAAGACCAGCCTGGCCAACATGGTGAAACCCTGTCTCTGGCAAAAATACAAAAGATTAGCCATGTGTCGTGGCGGATCCCAGCTACTTGGGAGGCTGAGGCAGGAGAATTACTTGAACCCGGGAGGCGGACGTTGCAGCAAGCCAAGATTGCGCCATTGCATTCCGGCCTATGTGACAAGAGCGAAACTCCAACTCAAAAAAAAAAAAAAAGGAAAATTAGGTAATACTGCAGATTCATTAATATAACAGCAGCAGCAAACTCAGTCTTCCTCTGTGCTGGGCTCAAGGGAACTGAAAGGGGAGTAACTTGCTATGTGGTTCAGCGTAATTTCATGCCATGTCACTGCACCACCTAAAATCTTCACCCGGAGACTATGTCCCACACGTGGGGAAATCAATCACTGTCATATTAAGTGCTTGCTGTGTGACAGCCACGATTACAATGACTGTTACTCTACCTCTTATTCTCACTCTAGTGTTCCCAGTGAAGCGGCGGAACCGGCACAGCCTAGTGGGGCCTCAGCAGCTAGGAGGACGGCCAGCCCCTGTCCGACGGAGCAACACGATGCCCCCCAACCTTGGCAATGCAGGGCTGCTGGGCCGAATGCTGGATGAGAAAACCCCTCCCTCACCCTCAGGTACGTTTCTATCTCGTGGAAGGTTGGGGGAAATGTGGGGCCCCTGTGACCCTCTTCTGATCCCTACTCTTCCCCTCAAGGACAACCCGAGGAGCCGGGGATGGTGCGC